TTCTTGTGTCGTTGTATTGGGTCCTTTGATACGACTTGAGCCCTCCAGGGCGAGGTGCTAGGTTCGATTATGCCCTCAACGAGTAGGTGGTTAATTTCTTGTTTGATAAATTCCTGGTCCTCCCTGCTGAATTTCCGCGACTTGCTTGCGATAGGCTTACATTCGGGGAGGAGGTTAGCGAAGAGGGATGGTTCCTCAATAGATGCCGCTGCAAGAGCACATACAGGTACCCCGTTGGGTACTTTAAGTTCGGGCTTTTCCCCACCGAACTCAATGACAACACTTTTATGTTCCCTTTGAAAGTCCTGGCCAAGAATGATATCACTACAGAGATCCTTCAGTACCCCTAGACGTACAGATGAATAGCACTGGTGGCCTAGTTGGATGTCAACAAAGCAATGGCCAAGAACTTTGGCTTTAAGTGATGTGAGAGCCATAGACAAACTGTCATCTGACTTGAGTAATTTGAGGTTGAGCTGGTTAGCTACCTTGTCGTTGATGTAGCTATCTGAACTCCCACAGTCAACAAGGGCAGTAAGAACAGTATTGTTGACATTGACTTTGGTGGATGCTTGCATAAGGCTCTTTGGACAGGCGGCACTTGTGGAGCAGAGTGAGGCAGATCTTATTGATGCTGTAGTCTTAGTCCCTTTTACAGCCTGAGACTGGCAAACTTTAGCGTAATGGCCAGTTTTACCACAATTGTCGCAGACACAACTGCGTGCAGGGCACTCCTTTCTATTGTGAATAGGGCCGCCACAGAAATAACATTTTCTTTGGGGTTTGACTGCTGCTGACACATGGTTATCACTTGGTAAAGGATCCTCACCACCACTTTCAGTAGAAATAGAAGCTGCCGAGTTTTCGGTTGGAGCATAGGCTTCAGAGTTTTTCTGGGCTAAGTCTAACGCGTTGGCCTGATCAAACGCCGTCTTCAATTCGAGTTGCCTGTTCTCCAGAAGTCGTTGGCGGATTAGTGGTGATAGAAGACCATTAATAAATGAGTCACGGACTAATTCCTCCCTATATTGTTCTGCAGTCACACTTCTGACGTTACAATCCTTGCTTAACTTTTTAAGTTCCTGTAGGAACTCTGTAAGCGACTCACCAGGCTTTTGGCGCCTTGTAGCAAGTAGATGACGTGCAAATATTTCATTCGGAGGCTTGATATACAGATTATTTAGTGCTTCAATAGACGAGTCGAAGTCCTGACAATCTTCGATGTAATCGTAAACGTTGTGAGAGACATAATTGATGAGAGTACGGTGTTTGTTTGGGGCTTTATCGCCGCATTCTTGAATGAAGTTGTTGAACGTTCGGAGCCAATGTTTCCACTCTTTCGCGGCTGACGGCGAATTTGGGTCCAAGTCGAGACGTTGCGGTTTCAATATCGTTTCCATATTGAAGAATTTAAATAAAGTTAAATAATTGTTGTAATTTACCATTCTCTGGCTTTATTTAACTTTAAAACACTACTTAAAATACTACAAAACAATAATATGGCGGATTATATATATATATATATAATGAAGTTGTTGAGCGTTCGGAGCCAATGTTTCCACTCTTTCGCGGCTGACGGCGAATTTGGGTCCAAGTCGAGACGTTGCGGTTTCAATATCGTTTCCATATTGAAGAATTTAAATAAAGTTAAATAATTGTTGTAATTTACCATTCTCTGGCGACTCTACAATACAATCCATACAATGTGTAACCGTACGTCCTGTGTCCCAAGTGCAGGAGTCACCATTTTACTATGGTGATAGCCGGGAGGGCACGTTGTTATACACTTTGTATATATATATATATATATGAGTACCGCTGGTCTGAAGTACTGCAGATAGTGGCACAGGGAGACCAATACCAATAAAACAATAATACAACACCTAGCTTTAAATGGTACTAAGCATTAGATTTTGTTGATAAACTAACATGCAGTTAAAACAGATCTATTTGAATTAATTAATTATGTAACACTGACTTATCAAATGGACATAATTAGAGTTGTAATGTGCAGCAATCCTTTTTAAAATTATTTACGTTTGTTTTTAGAATCGTAACTGAGGGTTTCTTTTTCATGAACACTTTGAGTAAATAAAATAGCTCCATTTAATTGGAGATGGAACATTTGCAACTCCAGTAATATAAATTTCACATGCTGTTATTCTTCAATTTATTTCAGGTCACTTTGGGACCATATTTGGTTGTCAAAAAGCATGTCTTTAAAAGAATCGTGGCAAAGAAAGTTAGATCATATGTTGCTAACTTAATGGGGGCAACCTTATCCCTTGAACACATGGCTACCCACAGCTACAAGGGCCAAAAATGGAAAAATGGTCAGGTGAAGCCTCGGCTTGATCCCACATACACTACTTCTTTAATTTGTAAGTAGATATATGTTTATTTGAGACTGAGTACCGTTGAAATTAAACTTCAAACATTTCATGGACTTTTTTTAGTATAAATATTTAGATTCTGCATTTTCAAGCACCTTTGACCAGCCGTAAACATCTATTTTTTACATGTTCTGCTATGCAGACATAGTATATTTTTCAAACATCCCCTGTGCCATGTCTTGTATGGGACAATAAGTGGTAATAATGAAAATTTATGTTGAGTTCGAGTTACTCGCCATATCTCTTTTCGTAATATACTCTATACCTTCAGTAACAACCACGAGTGAACTTTTTGATCGCACTGATTTTTATTATTTTACAGAGCAGTATTTATAGTCTTTATTACAAATAACAAATATTATTATTGGTCGGTATAGTTCCTCTATTTAAGCTATATATGGTACATAAGAAAATTTAACTAACATCAATAACTGTTCCTTGGCTGTTAGCCGTGTGGGAACGGATACATTGGTAAACCAAACTACGCACAAACTATTTCCATAACATGTTTCTGTGGTTTATGAGCATGACTCAACAATTTAATGTATCTTTTAATATTTTAAACTTACTGTTGTGAACTACTATGTTGTTTTGATACTTTGTGTTTGTATTGAAGACCTAGTCAAGTTTATTAGCTTTTGTTTTTGCTGACTTTCCACCTTATGATCCATCAGAAAATATCCTTTAGAGTTGAGGTGGACATTATTCCTCTTTCTTTTTTCTAGAGCATGCAATGAGTGTGAAGTATTCAAATATGTCACGCCAGGTTATAGAAGAAGATGTTGTAAAAGCTATAAAGTTCAAACTTAATAACGAGGAACAAGCATGGAAAAAACAACACGAATCCTGTTAAGTGTAACATTAGCTGTCTATACTATATTTTTCTATTAATTCTATCCATACAACTTAATGATATTTTTCTATAAAGGAAAAAAATTGGTGAATATTTTTATCTGGTTAAAATACAATGTATAATTAAAATATCGTGGATTCATGGTTTTATTGAATTCTTTATAAAATAATGTGTACTACTAGATTCTGTACATGGAATTTGCTAAATTCTGTTTATGTAACCCTTAGTTAATCAACTACATTATAACATAGATTCATTGGAAAACTGTAGTTCACAGAAAACTATAGTTTTGAAAACTGTAGTGTTTGGGAACAAAACTATCAATTGTAAAACTATAGTTCTCCCAAAACTTTATTTTCTATAACTCTAGTATCCCCAAAACTATAGTTCCGAAAACTATAGTTTATTCATATAACTATAGTTTTCGAAACTACAGTTTTTGTTCCAAAATACTACAGTTTTCAAAACTATAGTTTTTGACTTGAAAAACTATAGTTTATTTTTGTAAGGGTTGAACCAATTATTTGCAAGTACCTTTTTGAAGCATAGGCTGTAAATTAAAGTACAGTAATAGCCTGTAGACAAACTAACGACAAAATCATTATCTTTAAAAGTTGTTCATTTCACATCTCTCACATTGTGATGAATCTATTTACATAATAGTAACATGACACAGATTATGACAGCTGTAGTCATAATCTAACATAATCTTGTAAAATAACAAGTGCAAAACAGATATTTGTTGTTTTTAAGGTAATATTTATTAATGATTGATTTGAAAATTCTTTTTATTTGATTGATTTAATTGATTGAACTCAAATGGGTTCCACTTTAACACAGTCACTGTTACCAATTTTATCTTTAATTATGAGCTTTTTCTCGAATCACGTGATATATATATATACTATTACATAACTCAAAAGCGATGAGCAGTTAATATTTTGTGAAACTTTTAAAGAATTGACAAACACATACAATTCTTGTTCATTGATCTTTAGTTTCTACAATAAATACATTAATTAATTTGTATTGGCTCTCCTCGGCTACCGTACACGTGTGTGGACACGCAAGAGTGGATAGGATATTGGCCATGTATAGACTGTTGAAACTCTCACCTCTATGGTGGCCTATGAGTGCCATAGTAATTTCTAGTGTTTCCACTCCATTATTGGTATTATTTCATTTCTATTATTTTACAATTATAGTTTTGTTTCAGTTTTGTTTTGTTTAATTATTTTTTTTAACAGTTCAATTATAGTTTTGTTTCAGTTTTGTTTTGTTTAATTATTTTTTTAACAGTTCAATTATAGTTTTGTTTCAGTTTTGTTTTGTTTAATTATTTTTTTAACAGTTCAATTATAGTTTTGTTTCAGTTTTGTTTTGTTTAATTATTTTTTAACAGTTCAATTATAGTTTTGTTTCAGTTTTGTTTTGTTTAATTATTTTTTTAACAGTTCAATTATAGTTTTGTTTCAGTTTTGTTTTGTTTAATTATTTTTTTAACAGTTCAATTATAGTTTTGTTTCAGTTTTGTTTTGTTTAATTATTTTTTTAACAGTTCAATTATAGTTTTGTTTCAGTTTTGTTTTGTTTAAGTTTGGCTTTTTCTCCAAATCAGTTCAGTTTTCCAAAAATAAACTGAATCAATCATATGCCATGGCCTATGAGTGCCATAGCCCACAATTCCCTGTAATTCTTACCTCATAAACCCTATATTTCCATATTACATGAAGTGGGCTCTATACTTTATAAATATGGCGGAACGCATAAGGAACTCTGATTGGGAAAATGATGAAGAGATGAGACATGATCTTGAAAAATATGTACAGCGAAATTTAAAACGAAAAGAGATTCTAGACTTTATGTCTGCAGATTATCCCATGTATGCATGGAGCATTCGCACTTTAAGTCGCAGGCTTCAACATTTTAATATTAAATACACAAACTACGACATTGCATTGGAAGACGTTAAAACAGCTGTCAAAAAGGAGTTGAACGGTCCTGGCGTTCTTCTAGGTTATCGGGCAATTCAGCAAAGGTAAGAGAGGTGCATGGACTCAATGTCTCACGCGACTTAGTTTACGCTGTAATGGGTGAAGCTGACCCAGAAGGACTGCAATCACGAGGTGGAATTGGAAAACCGAAACGACCACGTAGGACAAACGCGTTTGTTAGTCGAGTAAGTCAGCCATCTTATTTTATTTGTGTTGCGATAAGTAAAATATTAATTGCTTTGTTTCAGGATATTCCTAGTATTTCTTTAAAACTATGCGGCTTTTTTGTGATGAAAATTTACATCATCTTAAGCTTTATTCTAAAAACCAGTATTTTGTTTCTACCATTTGATGAGTGGTGTAAGGAACAAGCTAAAAGAAATTTCTGTGCACAACAATTTGCACTATGTGGGTGGAGAAGAGGTTTGTAGTAAAAAATCACCATGCAAATTTGATTTTCAAAGTTTAAAGGAGGGAGCACTTGAGGGTGGACAACAAAATTTTATTGAGGCATGTATCTCCCCTTAGCAATGCCACTTCTGAAAACTGCTAACTTGAGCCTTCATTTTATTAAATTATAACAGGGATCAAACTCTACAATGTCCTTAGATGGGCATGATAAGCTTTGTGGCTATCAGAAATCTATGTTTCCTTTGTGCATCTATGGTGGACTTGATGTATACAGTGGCAGGGTTAACTTTCTGAAAGTGTGGACAACTAACAACAACCCATTGGTTATTGGACGATTCTATTTTGAATATCTGTTTAAGGCTAGGGTAAGATATTTTGAATTTCAATTTTATATTGTTCACTTTTTATGTTCCATATGTTTTCTGGATGAAAATAGTGAGAATACAATCAAAATTTTAAAGTCTGTATTATCTTTTTGTCCAGTTTTGCCACAAACATTAAGGTTAGACAGAGGGACAGAAACTGATGTCATGGCAACAATTCATTGCTTCCTACGAGGTGATTTGCATAACGCTTTAGATGCTATAATTTATGGACCTTCCACTCAAAACAAGATTGAAAGGTGGTGGAGGGATCTTCTTGAGAGAATGGAAAGGTTTTTTAAGGAACAACTTAAATGCTTGGTTGAAAGTGGAGATTATGATTCCAGTGATCAAAATGACAGGTACTTATGATAATTGCATGCATTTTATTTCAAGTCATGCCTGATGTTAGTGCTTTTGTGTAAATTGTAGAAATTAATTGTAAATTTAAATGGTAAAATCCGGAGAAATGTATTATATCTTTGTATGTACTGATACAATATATTTGACAACATGCAAACACTCTACTTGTTTCTTAAAGAGACTTACTGGCTTATGTATACATCCCAATAATTCAAAAGGAACTAGATATTTTTCGTGAGTGTGTTTGGAATAACCACAGAACACGTAAACAGAGAGGAAAAGAACTGCCAGCAGGAATTCCAGAACACATATTCCATTTTCCAGAGAAGTATGGTGGTGAACAATGTGGAATTGATATTACAGAAGAACAACTGCTTGAGGTTTCTGAGTTATCAAATGTTTTGGAAGACAATGATGATTATTTAAGACCAGCTGTTCGTGAAGAGCGTAAGAAGCATTTGCCCCAAATACATGAAATTAATCCCAATGATGCTAAGGAAGCTTATTTATACTTGAAGAGTCATGTTGATGTGAATATTTTTTAAGACACAATAGAAACTCGCTTTATTAAAATCGTATTTTGAAAACTGAACTTAATCAAGTAATTTGAACAAAAACATTATTACTGTCAATCAAACTTGATTTAAAATGTCAGTCAAAACTTAACTATATTATCTACATTTCTTTGAGCTTAAGCATAAGGCAAAATTTGTTGCAAACATGCTCTACCTTAAACCTATCAATGGCATCTGTCGAAAGGTTGCCACAGCAAAAGAAAATTGTCCTGTCAATCTCATCAATAAGAGTTGAACTTGCAACCTCTGGATCAAACAAACTATGATCTACTCCCTGGATGTCCAAAACCATTAGTTGTTGTCCAGACTTCTCATAGGTATAGTGACAGAATGATTCTGCCTTGAGTGTTACCTCACAACTCCCACAAACTTCACCAGTGTTGTTCACATACTTTTGAAATTCACCCTCTATATAATTTTCCAATGTTACAAACTCACTATAAAGCCTTCCAAAGTAAACATTTGTGTAATTTAGAACATGACCATACCAAGTGGAGGTTGCAGAGATGCATACATTGCCACCCCCATATCAGGGTTGCAGCCAGGAAAATATGTGCTAAAAAGAGTTCGAGAAGAAAAAGTTGGGGAAATTAAGCAGCTGTTTAAATCAATTGAGGAGCACACAAGAAAAGCAGTGCAAATGAATGCACTAGTTAGGAACTTTACCAAGTTTAAGCATAGCACTCAGAGGAACAGAGGCTGCAATTTTCGTGAATATTGATGGAGGCTTTTTCGTTGGGGTCTCATGAGATTTCCACCGTTGATTGAAACTGATTTCTATTGGCTTTTCATGACACACAATTGGCTCTCATCACTTCCCTCAATAAAACGAACATGGATTACCTTCCAGTTATTTATCTGACTCGTTTCAGTCCAAGATGGCCCTCTCTCCCCAGCTAGTACATCACAGCACGACCCGTCTTCCACGTTGAAATAGCGCTTGCATGCCTCTTTAATATTTTCGATTGTTGGTTCTCCACCAAAAGGAACACTTGCTAACGGCCCAATCCTTGCGTATTTTTGATACCTTCCTTCGACATGAGACGACAATCTTTGAACTGTGATATAGTCCATGTACGACTTGGAACTTTTTTCTTCTTTTCTTCTCTTTTTTGAGATTCGCTCCTTAAACTTTGCAAAATACTCTTTGAAATTTCGTTTTGACATAGTTTAGAGAAACAGCCTTCGGAATGGTAGCAATTTCAAAGTGTTAATAAATATAAATAATCAAAATTCAAAAATATATCCCACGTGCGAATATGGCCAATCATGTGCCAATCAGAGTTCCTTATGCGTTCCGCCATATTTATAAAGTATAGAGCCCACTTCATGTAATATGGAAATATAGGGTTTATGAGGTAAGAATTACAGGGAATTGTGGGCTATGGCACTCATAGGCCATGGCATATGATTGATTCAGTTTATTTTTGGAAAACTGAACTGATTTGGAGAAAAAGCCAAACTTAAACAAAACAAAACTGAAACAAAACTATAATTGAACTGTTAAAAAAATAATTAAACAAAACAAAACTGAAACAAAACTATAATTGAACTGTTAAAAAAATAATTAAACAAAACAAAACTGAAACAAAACTATAATTGAACTGTTAAAAAAATAATTAAACAAAACAAAACTGAAACAAAACTATAATTGAACTGTTAAAAAAAAATAATTAAACAAAACAAAACTGAAACAAAACTATAATTGTAAAATAATAGAAATGAAATAAGACCAATAATGAAGTGGAAACACTAGAAATTACTATGGCACTCATAGGCCACGTGGTATGCGTGCCACATTACACTTGTAGTAGATTTGCTACTAGATATTTAATTCATATGATAATGCAAATTGATATCTTCCGTTAAATCAAAGTCACATGGAGTAGTAACTTCCTAACAACAAATTGGCTATTGGAGTTTCGAAGGTTAATAAAAAAATGTATCGTTTTGGGAAAAAATTTAAGCGTTCAAAGACGTTTTTCTACACTCGAGGCCCTCGACGATCACCTATTGATTCGGTAGGATAAAAATTAATTTGTTTCAAGTAACTCAATTTCAGCTTCAACTTAAGAAATGAAGTTTCATTTCAACTACCACATTATCTGATCTTTGAGATAATACTCTCCATCCATATACTTTCATGATGGAAATTTGCTGTTGGTGGGCTACAAACAATCAAGCTGCTTTTCGTATTACATAATGCTTATGATTGTGAAATTATTAAAGCCATTCATTCACTTGCATTTGTAGGGGAGTTATCTACGGATGATAATTGTGGTGGTATACATTGTTTCAAATACATATAGATAGCCCTCTTTGGTTTAAATATTTTAACATATTCACTAATGTGCAAGAATTGATAGTTGACTTTGGAATTTGTGAACTATTTTGGATTTCCTACTTTGCTCTCTGCAAGGTCTCTGTACATATTAGTACAATTATGTTGCTTATAAAATTTTGGCATGCTCAACGAAAGCTTGTACAGAAAGGTAAGAAGGAAATATGTTGCATTTAAGCTTGATTGTTGTAAGCCCACCAGCAGCAACAGATACATTTTCTTCCTATTGCAAGTTAATTGTTTAGTGGTAGTAAACATATGTGTGAAATATGTTTTAGTTGACAACTTATAATACATTGTTTCATCACAAAATAGATGGCCCCTCATAGCAGTCAATCTAAATCAAACGAAGACTACGAAGTGGAATGTAATGTGGTTAGTCTCTAAGTATCTCAAAATTATGAAGTCTGAAATATCTGTGTGGGATGTGTTGCATTAAAGTTGTGAACCTTAGGTGAAATGAAAAATTAAATATGTTACTTATCATATATGGAGCATTGCAAACTTTCTCTTAGGAAATGCATGATGATCATCCATTGTTAGAAGAATGTGTTGAGTCAAACATCACTCTTGAACAACCGTTGCATCTGGTTAGTTTTTAGTTGAATTATTCAGGTTTCTGTAAAGTAATACAGTAAATTCTTTATGCTTGTCAGAAAGCCAAAGTAATATTATAAACTCTTTAGATTTCCCAGAATATTGATGAAACTATTACCGTTGATGTCGACAAATCTCAACCTGATGAAGTAAGTGCAACTTGCAGATACAAATATAGTGCTCAGAGCAATATGAAATAAAGTAGCACAGATAAGATGAAATCTTAATAGTTTAAAACTTAACTCAGGATTTTATGCTTGATGCAATCTACTATAATGTATTTAATGTGATCCTCACCTATAATATGCAATAATATACTTTCTGCCAAAGTGCAGGGTTACCATCTATGTATATGGTAATCATGAGGAGGACACAATGTTTATGTATAAATATATAAAAGTGACTATAAGTTGACTAAGCTTATTGTGAGTAATGTTTATAGTGAAACACCTTAATCATGTTTTTCATTTCTCAAATTAATAAGCATATCATAAAATATTATATATCAAATAAATCTTTAAATACTTCAGTTAGCATTCATAATCAAACATTATTGACAATCATAACAACTTATTCATGACTCAATAATCACTATGTCAACAAGATAAATATTTCTCCCTTAATGGAAACTTGTTCAAATAATCACCAAGATAATGTAAAACTTTAGGAGAAACAACACACTCATAACATGCATTGGTCTCACAGAAAGAACCCTACCACAACCTAGGAAGCACATATGCGTGTTAACACTGACCACTCTAACCCTGGCATACAATGTTTTCATATGAAACTTATCATGAATGTAATTTCCGTTCTCTGCCTAGAAGAAAAACTGTAACCACTTGTTGACTGGAGTTATTTTCCCTCTTGAAAAATTTAAACTTGAGTCAAAGAATTTAACTTCCCAACAAAATGTATTGTTTTTTTCTAGAAAAATATTGCAGCTGTTTTGCATTATACTGGGTTATTGCTTCAATTTTCTGCAGTAACAAATTTGGGGGAACATCAATCATTTGCTATTCTTGACTATAATGTGGAGAAAAGAAAAATTATGGTGAGCTCCTTAGTAGTGAATGTATTTTATAATGTTATATTCATATATATTTTACATTTAATTAAGCACACTTCATATGTGTTTGTTCATCGGTACCCTCATTATCGTGCAAATGGATGTTCATGTGATCGATTGCAACTGGAATTTGTGCAGGCCCTTAGCTCAAATACTAATTTAAGTACAGATAAAGGTATACAAGATTATTAAAAATGACTAATTGTAAATTTAAGCACTAACTTCTGGAATACTCTTTTAATAGTTGTAAGCTATCCAAAATGCTTACATATATTGGCAATGGAAAGATTTTTGGAGACTTATGATGAAAATTTGGGAATAACCTCACAAGAATCAAGTTTTTTCAAGAGTATGTTATTGTTCTCATAATGCAGAATAAAGTAAATGGTTTGAACTCGAGTATCGTGACATGTTTGTGGATGTAGGTCGTCCAGGTAGTTGAGTCCTGAGAAGGACTGTTTGTGTTGATGTTCAGATCAAAATTTTTGAAGATGACTACCACTAAGGTTGTAGAAAGTCAGTCAACACCAACAATAACAGTCATTTTCAGGACTCTACTAACCTGGACGATCTACATCAGAAACATGTAATAATGCAGAATGGTGGTTATTTTGCTATATGAGAACAGTATGCTAATATCATGCCAACCTGTGAAAAAGTAATTTTGCATAAAATTGATGGTATGTTTGTTTTTAATTTTTAAGTTGTGGAAAAATCAGGAACATCTGACCCAATAGATCATTCATACTGTGGAATGTTTCCTAAAGAGGTTTTTACTTGCAGTCATTGATTAAATTATAATATGTTCTACGATAGCTCCTTTCATGTTACAGGACTTGTTTAAAGCCGTTAGTGGTGGTCCCAACTGGATTGCTGTAAAACCAGTCAATCGCGAATGGGGCGTGTGCACATTTACTTATTCTAAAGTAGCACTACCTCAAGCAGAGCTAAGATGTTCTAATTGTTCATCTTACCTCTGCATTCATGTTACAACTCTTGGGAAGGCGCTGGAAATCGTACAAGATGATGACGACTCGCAGCTAGCATATTTTAAGTTAGCTTTTGAAACCTCACCTGAAATGAGAAATTACTACGAGTTGGCAACTCGTAGTGAAAAAAAAGTTAAATTATTTGAAATAGGTAAAGTAGTGTAGTAAATGGAAATAATATATGTGTGTTTGTGTAATGGGTGGCCAAAAAACATGGAATCGTCATTTAAATTTCAATACTCATTTTTCACACAGGTTGTGATGAGAATGATGCCAATCATTTTGCTAAGCTTCTGGCTATGAACTGGTCAAAGATATTCGTACCTAGTGCTTGTGGTACTTGCTCTTGTGGTGCTGCTTGGGATAAGCGTGATGTATCAGATGACTGGCTGGATGTGGAAGGCTGTCATGTGGCGTATCTTTATGATTTCCACTGTGTGAATGGTTTGTAAACTGAATTATTTATTACTTTCTTTGTATTAGTGTCACGACTACAATCTTCTGTGAATTTTTAGTGTATTATCGACCGTGTTCTACATGCACAAACAAGAAGCGGTACGATGGTATCGAGAACAACGTCTTGTGGTTTGGATCATTTTCCATTTCGCATGCAGTCCTCAAAGATTATATAAGGCATTTTTTGGTTTCAAGGTACGTGTGATAGTCAGTTATCAAGTATGAAGTAAACATTTTTATCTACATGATTAATTATGAATTCATGAAAATATCTTTTCATCTTTTAAATGGTTTAGCCTGCCCATGTATAAATATTACGTGACGTACGTCCAAAGACAAGTTATGTCAGGAAATTTGAATTTTTCTGGCATTATAACTTACACCAAGTTTCGTCTGGCAGTTACTGCAATGATTAGGTAACTTTTTTTATTTCAACCTGCACCAATTTTTAGGTGAGTTACATGTATTTAAAAGTTTATTTGATCGGATATTCGTTTGTTTAAATTAACTTTTGTTGTAATGCTAAATATAAATGATAAAGTACGTATGCTACCAATATATATATATATCTGTAGCACTTACGTATGTTTAGCATTTGATCATTTCATTGGTGGTGAATTTATGATAAGGGTGGGGAGTGTAGGTGCACAGAGGTGCTCCCACCTGTAGGTAATGGTCAACAAAGGGTACATAGAGAGGTACAAAAAATGAAAACACTATCCTACTTTTAATGTCCAAGAAAGTCTGAACATTTATTTACTATCATTTTACTTTCCTTATGAAGTGGCAACACTGAATAGATCAAATGGCATTCTTATTTATTTTGTTGACAAAAACAGGCAGTATTGTATCCGCTTTTAAGAATAACTATGTTAATTGGTTTTTAACCATAGATCTAAAAAATCCTTGCTGGATACAACACTGATTTTTTACGCTATTTAGATTACTTGACATTGACTTTGTTGACGCTTTTCATTGTAACATCTGTGGAAAACATCCGAAAAAAGTTGTTATGGACGGTACGGCACTTGGTATCCAAAAAACCTTCTTGCCTCGTAAGGTAGCTCCCAGAAGGCCCTACGATGGATGGAAGATAAGTGTTTTTCTGGGTGTGTATTTTTCATTGGCTAGCTGGACATGTGTTTTATTTTGGGGCGGATTTTTTCCAACACTAGGTTCGAACGCGGAACTTCCTCAATCGGAAGAGGCAGAGAGAGTTGTTGAAGAAATTTATAAAGAACCAAATTACAGAAGACGAACTCGTGGAATTAACCTCGGAAGTATGAATGTTGTTAGTTGTTTATTGATGTACAATATGCTAAGAACATGTTGTAGCTATTTTTACAGGCTATTTTACTATTGCTCGTTTATTTAGATTTCATCTCCTGGCCTAAAATGCTAATCGTATCCCTTAGAGAGGAACATTTTGGTGTCACGTTTCCAGAACCTTGCATAAGACTTCTCAAAGCACTTGCGTCAGATAAACCTGTTTGTGCAATTGTACCTCCTGTGAGAGAGGTGAAGGATTTGTTGATCAGAATTGCCAACGGAGCAAATCCAAAGGACAATCCATTGTCTGATTTACAACTTTGCACGAACAGGTCCCCCTCTTGTTTTGTCTTTGCAATCATTTTGCAGAGCTGCCAAACCCCATACGTGTTTTGTGTGGGGAAATGGTCGCCAAAGCGTCCAGTCCTTTTACTGACCAAAACGGGTGTGAGCGTTTGCCCCACAACCTTCCCCAAGTTCAGTGTGATGGTCAGTTAGGTTTTTCCATCTTTGCCTTCTCTTGTTGAACGTGGGCACTATGTTCTTGACACAAAAAGAGCTGGTCATTTAGATGATTGTGCCAAAGGCGTTCGTTCAAAGAAGAAGCATGGGTCTTTAATTCCTGGGATATTCCTTATTTTATGTCCGCACGGTATGGCAAAGAAGCATTAATGTTCTTGATCATAGAATGACAGGAAAATTCATCCCGTAAACTCTCCTCATTGAAAAATTATGAGATTTTTTATTGTTTTTTAGGTATTTGTTACGGCTTTCAAGTGATGCCCGATCATGAATCACCCAATGTTCCTTTTACCATTTTAAGAACTCGATTTTCTGAAGGTAATTTGAAGTTTTTGAGGTATTTCTCATTCTTTTATGAGAATTGTGAAATTGTTAGCGTTTCGTTACTCCCAATTGTAAACAAATAAACTTATAATGTTTAGCTCCTGAACTAGTGATCTATGACAACGCGTGCAAACTACACGAGTACTGCCTTAACCGCGATCCTGCTTTTTTAAAATCCAAATTCATCGTCGACAAGTTTCATTGGAGAAACCATTCTGGTATAAAACTCGTATTTTATTATGCTAAGTGTGTCGAAATTGAAACGACTCATATCTTTGACTCTTATAGGTTGCTCTGAGGGATACGATATTAATAGATATCCCATTTTAAAAACGCACAACAGCCAAGCTGCAGAGCAGTGTAACTCTGTAATGAAGCCACTTGCGTCAATGGTTTCATACATGGAATATGACAACTTTTTGCTATTTTCGAAATTGTATATTTGGTACAGAAACATGTTGCGCATAATAAAATGCAATCCTGGACGGGATGTTCCAGAGAGGAAACGTTTCTTGCAATCAGCAATATTATCAGATAAGTAGTATTTGAAAACCAGTATTATTTAATTGGGAACCATGTTGAAACGAAATGCTAACACTTTGGAACAAACAAAAAAAGTCTAAGTAACAGTTGAAATATTTTTCTAAATTCATCATTTTAAAGAAAATACGTCATATTTATGACATGTCTGCGTAACGTATAGCTGTAACATTTTGTCCTCAAACAGCTTCATATTTTTCGCATTTATAGCATAATGAAAAATTTTGGATATGAAAATGAATGAAATCAATTTTTAAAATGTTGAAATCATAACTCGCACGATATTATAGCTTTTCAACGTCAATGGATAATGCTGGTACTCATTAGTTATTAAGTATATATATTTACTCCACGATTATTCTATGTAGTAGTAATGTTGCACCTCATGACACAATCAGAGTTTATATGAAGAAGTAATTGAACAAATGTGCCGAGCATTGACCATTTATATAACGCCTGTTTTTCATTGTGTGTAAACAGGTCGACTGTTACAGGGACTGAAGAAGCTCTTTTAGCTGCGTACGTCTTCCCTCACTGTTTATATTTTCTATCGATGAGTTGATGCATCCCTAAAATATGATAAAATTATCTGTTATATGTCACATACTGGAATATGTTGCTTTTAAATTATTTGCGTATTTTGCGACAGCAAATGTCTACATAACAAAATACCTCCTTTATTATTACTCTTGCAAACTCTAACAAATATACGCCGCAATCGTGACCATTTTTTTGCCTTGCAACCTGAATGGTGATTAAATAACAACGTTTGTGACATATCCATACATTGACTTTATAGATCAATGTGTTTATGCTTGTCAAACAATTACTCGACTTACATCCGCATAAATAGGCTCTGAAATGCTTCCCATGTGGTCTGGCCATTGTTGCTCTTCTTTATGTGTTGGAGATACCTTAACGTTAAAAAGCTGTTTATGAAGTTAGAAAACATGTCGGTACATATCAAAAGAGGCAACCTGTTAGTTCAGTATGTATAGAAATAACAACCTTCTTATGTTTGAAGCAACAGTTTTATTCTTCCAACCCATGCTGCACAACACGTATAAACGACTTGTCAAAACTTCAAGGACCACTAGCCACCAATGTGTCCTTTAAAATATATCATGTCTCAAGTATCTCATAGAATTGAACTATAGAAACTGATTTTCTTTGTAAAATTCTTACATGTCGCAGACTGGTATAAAAATCATTTTATATTGATACATGTTCTTAGGTGTGTATCTCCTCACTCCATGTAAGTTGCATCCCGAAAGATCTAATGGTCGCTTTGATCTGAAAAAATTGCAAATATTATAACATGTAATTATCTCTAGAATCTAGGGTGAAATCTTAACCGGACACTTACACGTGTCCTTTCATGAGTAGTTTCTGTTGGAAAAAACTAGAAAAGGCATAATATTGTTCCCCATCGTCTTTTCTTTCTGCCGTTTTGCAGTAATACCTATTGCATTCATGTAATTTAAGTTAGCTTGTAAAGTTTTTATTGCTTCTTTCTATATGTTAGATTTGAATCATTTCACATTACCTTAAAAAAAAGTCAATTATGGTATCACACAACCACTTGCTTCCATTTAATGTTTCGACATCACTCTTGTATATTACAATGCCATCAAAACAGTTCACTCTAAAAAGGCATTGATGCTACCTTTGTCGTTTTCCTTTTTGTCAAATATTTTCAATATATGAATGTCACCTTTCACTCTCTTCACTGCATTCTTTCCTGTCAAAGATATTGTTTTCTATTATCGTCAGGAATTTTCTTCACATATTCAATAGAAACATTTACATGAGACATTCAATTTTTTATTGACCTGATTGTAGTTGCTGGCTTTTTTCTTCTAGTCGGTCTCTTTTCAGATGTTTGCTCCATAAATACATAACTATTTTGAAAAGTTTTGCCAACTGTCAAACTAAAGTAGCCTATTCCTCCGTTGTCCGTAACTTGGCATAAACACGGAAAATAGATATGGAATAGTTCAAACTGGGGACTCCATATTTCCAATGACGCACGAAGTGCTCCAGCAATGCATTGAACATGCGTGTTAGTAAGGGTAACCTCTAAAAAAGGGAATAATTTGCTTGTCATGTAGGTTTTCTAAATTTGTTTAATATTAAAGAATTTTCTTCGTGATTTGAATTTTGAGAATGTTCACCTTCAGTGTTGAAATCTTGTATTTCTTTTATAATTTCTTCATTTGAAATTGCTTTACTTGTTTGTCGTGAGCGCTAGAAAAAGATGTGTTTTCTTTTATAAATAAAAAAACTTAGAGATTTACGGAGCAAAATATTACTTCGGATGCCAAATGACATTGATGTGCAACTCCGTATAGAAATGAATCGAGTTGAAGTCTATTGGGATCAATGCTTAAAGCGTTGAAAATGTCTCCAGGACAACTTGTGTCGTAATCATGTGGAACGCCCATGAGGTCTTTTTCGTGTGACCTACTCAAATATTATTAAGGAATCAACAAATTGTCATTTAGATTAGAACCGTTCAATCAGTCAATAAACATTAGCATTTCATACTTTAAATTTTTCGTAATAGGATGTTGATGTGTATCAGCTAAGTCCAACAATTCGTAGGCTGTTTCAACATATTTTAGGGGGTCTTTTAACATTGCGCGAACAATACAAGCTATTTCTCTCTAAAATGGATTGTGGTATCGTTTTGAAATTTAAAAAAATAAATGTGAGTTTCTAAAAGTTTTCTTACTTTTTCGTACATGTCTCTCATCTGTTGTAAATTCACTAATTGTGTATCCTCTTCCTGATGGGTATAGAAAAAAACGTTCATTTTTGGTACGCTGTTTTTTGTAATTTCCTGGACGTTCATTTACCCTTTCATCCTCTTTTATGTTATTTAATGCAGCTTCGTTATCAACAAATTTGTTTTCGAAATCTTCTCTTTTCTCGCTCTCATCACTTCTTTTATCTTCTTCGCTTGTATACGTATCTTTTCCAACATTCGCATCTCGATTAGTTTTCTTGGGAATAAAAGCAAATAGCAGTTCGTGTTTAAATGTTCTTATATTATTTCTTAAAAGATGGTTAGTGTGTACCTCTTGTCTTCCTTGACCAAATGATTGTGTTGTCTCTTCATTTTTTTCATTTCCAGTAAACTAATTAAACAAAAGTTAAGAGAAGCAGTGAGTTGTCTTTTATATACTAAATCTACAACAATAATACTCACTTCATGAACGTATTCTCCATACGATAGAGCGATCTCTATCAGTTCTTTCTTATTTAAAATTTTTCTCGAGAGTTCTGTTTTATCATCAAATTCTTCTTCATCGTAATCATCCTCTGAGAATGGTGTACAATATGTAAATAAAAACAATGAAAATATTGAAGATTGATTCACTTGATTTACCTGAAGGTTGATTAATCCTGGCAGATGGCGAAACAAATGGGATGTGAGGAGGCCAAAACAACGGTTTCTCTGCTTTAAGCCAAAAGTCTCTCACTCTAGCCACTTTCCACTTCTGTTTTCCTTTCTTGTCTAAAACCAATCTTGAATTCACGAGGTCTGCCGTTGTATATCAGAAATTAGTTACTCACAAATATACAAAAATAGTTTTTACCGATGTAAGCTGTTCTTGAGAGAACCATATTTAAAACCAGTTTCCGTAGCTCTTTGCACGACCAAGTCCCTTGTTAATATTATAAAATATACCGGAAAATGGTATGTATAACCATGATGAAATGATGTCTAAAAAACAAGTAAATTTTTACGAGGACTTAAAATTTCGTGCTTGTGTGTCACTATGGTGTAAACCAGATGAGAAAATTAGTAAAATTTCAGAGATTATAAAACATACCGGAAAATGGTATGTATAACCATGATGAAATGATGGCTAAAAACAAGTAAATTTTTACGAGGACTAAAAATTTCGTGTTTGTGTGTCACTATGGTGTAAACCAGATGAGAAAATTAGTAAAATTTCAGAGATTATAAAACATACCGGAAAATGGTATGTATAACCATGATGAAATGATGTCTAAAAAACAAGTAAATTTTCACGAGGACTTAAAATTTCGTGTTTGTGTGTCACTATGGTGTAAACCAGATGAGAAAATTAGTAGAATTTCAGATATTATAAAACATACCGGAAAATGGTATGTATAACCATGATGAAATGATGTCTAAAAAACAAGTAAATTTTACGAGGACTTAAAATTTCGTGTTTGTGCGACACAATGGTGTAAACCATATGAGAAAATTAGTAAAATTTCAGATATTATAAAACATACCGGAAAATGGTATGTATAACCATGATGAAATGATGGCTAAAAACAAGTAAATTTTTACGAGGACTTAAAATTTCGTGTTTGTGTATCACTATGGTGTAAACCATATGAGAAAATTAGTAAAATTTCAGATATTATAAAACATACCGGAAAATGGTATGTATAACCATGATGAAATGATGTCTAAAAAACAAGTAAATTTTACGAGGACTTAAAATTTCGTGTTTGTGCGACACAATGGTGTAAACCAGATGAGAAAATTAGTAAAATTTCAGATATTATAAAACATACCGGAAAATGGTATGTATAACCATGATGAAATGATGTCTAAAAACAAGTAAATTTTACGAGGACTTAAAATTTCGTGTTTGTGTGTCACTATGGTGTAAACCAGATGAGAAAATTAGTAAAATTTCAGATATTATAAAACATACCGGAAAATGGTATGTATAACCATGATGAAATGATGTCTAAAAAACAAGTAAATTTTACGAGGACTTAAAATTTCGTGTTTGTGTGTCACTATGGTGTAAACCAGATGAGAAAATTAGTAAAATTTCAGATATTATATAACATACAGAAAATGGTATGTATAACCATGATGAAATGATGTCTAAAAAACAAGTAAATTTTCACGAGGACTTAAAATTTCGTGTTTGTATGTCACTATGGTGTAAACCAGATGAGAAAATTAGTAAAATTTCAGATATTATATAACATACAGAAAATGGTATGGATAACCACGATGGTTATACTTCTATAAATCAAAGTTCTAATCCCTTGTAACCTCACGCACAGGCGTTTTTTGTTCATGGTATCGATCTTTTAAATTTTATTGGATTAAATTATTCGTGTTCGTTAGGTTCTATACTAGTGATTCCAGAGCTTTTATTAATGATCGAATTCATACGATTCCTGTTTTACTATGTACTATTTCTGAGTTGTCTTTACCAGTGTACAGCGGATACCTCCTTTATTCGCGTGGTTGTAAGTGATGTTATACCTACAAGAAAATGGACGCAATACAAACTTCACGCCACCATACACCTCTCACCACTCAAAAGTTTATATGATATTGCTGAAGTCTTAACTTTCCAGAACGTTAAAGATGAAAACCTAAAAATTTATCCGAACGACATTTCCAACAACAATCTGCTTCTCAAAAAACACATAACTGCCATCTACAACAAGGTATGTGTGTGTTGTATGTCTGTATATAAGGAAGTTAAATTGCTTATTATAGCAGTTATTAGTCGTTCGGTTCAGTCGTTATATTTGTAAAATATGTGTTATTATATTAATGCTTGACGAAGCAAATTTACTTGAAATTGCAATTGTAATCATGTCATCATTGAATAGTTAAATATTTCGGTCGTTTTAAGAGCAGAAATAACATTAGTTTAATGATGAAATCGGTGTATCTTTGCATTAAAATATACAGCATCGCTTATTAAATTTAAGTTCCTAATTTTCAATGCAGGAAAATAGTTTTGCCAATCTTTGTACATTGTCACGACATAACATTATCAATGTCGATTGTGCCCAATTTAATGTGCCTTTGCGTTCATTCTTTGTTTTTCATAGCAATCTATTCATACAACTTCTAGAACGATAAATATCAAAACCTGAAAGTTTCAACCGTCGACCAGTTGAAGGTTTGTAAGACATAAGACAAAGAATTATCATGCGTGTTTATACGATGTATAAATGTGACTTTAAAATGTAAATTGTTCGCCAACTGTTAAGTCATTTATACACTTTTTATAAATTTAGTCTTACCCTACAAAGAAGCAACGTATGAAGTGCAAAGGCTAATTCTTCAATAATATATGTTCCACTGTAATGTTTTAAATCGGTTCAAGCATCCTTTCCTAATACCACTAATTTTATATTATAGATAAACCTTAGCAACTTGTAATGTTGTAGTTGTAGTTACAATCAAACAAAGTTACAAATTCAAACAACAACAATTGCTTACTAAAAACAAATCACTGTCATTTGAAGCCAGTTATGTTTACTATGATGTGTTTGTATGTTAAAGTAGTTAAATACCTGGTAGAAATTATTAGTTGTTCAATGAAGACAGTCTATTTGTTAAATATATGTGTTATTTCTTTTACTTTGTGATATATTAAATCACATTTATGCCTGATTAGACAAATTTATTTTAAAATTGAATATTTATGTCATATTTGAATAGTTTAAGTATTCTTTATAAACTACCAAAATACTTTATAAACAACTCAATTGGTTAAAACTTTATCGTCAAAATATTCTTTAGAAACTTTAACCAACAGAATTATTGCTATGGTATTTTAAATCTATGATAAGGTGCTATAATGTTGTATTCTGAATTAACCTTGATCTGCCATTGTGAATGTTGTATCAAATGTTTTTGTTGTTTATTAACACATTTTCTTTTTTAATTTAGGTTCATAAAGCCATCTTTTATTGCTACAAACACTTTATCTGACATCATTGAGAAATGGCAAACTTGTGATTCAAATATGGACAACTTTGTGTAGAGCTTAAGGTACCATACACATGCCTTTCTTATCTGTGCATGCAAAGCGAAAAAAGGAATTTTGTTTGACAAAGGAAACTTTTTCTATCATTTCATTTTGATACAATTCCTCAAATGTAAATCTCATCACAGTCCTTTCTAACTCATAACTATGATTCAGACAAGCTTCATTACACTAAATTCAGTAGTTTTTCTATCTACACATGCTTCAGTAGTTTTTCTACCTACACATGTTTCAGTAGTTTTTCTATCTACACATGCTTCAGTAGTTTTTCTACCTACACATGCTTTAGTAGTTTTTCTATCTACACATGCTTCAGTAGTTTATCTATCTACACATGCTTTAGTAGTTTTTCTATCTACACATGCTTTAGTAGTTTTTCTACCTACACATGCTTTAGTAGTTTTTCTATCTACACATGCTTCAGTAGTTTTCTACTACACATGCTTTAGTAGTTTTCTACACATGCTTCAGTAGTTTTTCTCTACACATGCTTTAGTAGTTTTCTATCTACACATGCTTCAGTAGTTTTCTATCTACTTCCAGTAGTTTCTATCTACACATGCTTCAGTAGTTTTTCTATCTACACATGCTTCAGTAGTTTTTCTTTCTACACATGCTTCAGTAGTTTTTATCTACACATGCTTCAGTAGTTTTTCATCACATGCTTCAGTAGTTTTTCTATCTATACATGCTTCAGTAGTTGATCTATCTACACATGCTTCAGTAGTTTTCTACCTACACATGCTTCAGTAGTTTTTCTATCTACATGCTTCAGTAGTTTTCTATATACATGCTTCAGTAGTTTTTCTTCACATTTCTTCATTCACTTCCTTTAGTTTTCAGTAGTTTTTTCTATCTTCAGTAGTTTTCTTCAATTTCTTCAGTGTTTTCCTTCTTTCAGTAGTTTTCTATTCACACATTCAGTAGTTTTCTATCCACACTTCTACACATGCTTCAGTAGTTTTCTATCTACATGCTTCAGTAGTTTTCTATCACATGCTTCAGTAGTTTTCTATCTACACATGCTTCAGTAGTTTTCTATCTACACATGCTTCAGTTTTTCTATCTACACATGCTTCAGTAGTTTTCTATTTACACATGCTTCAGTAGTTTTCTATCTACACATGCTTCAGTAGTTTTTCTATCTACACATGCTTCAGTAGTTTTCTATCTACATGCTTCAGTAGTTTTTCTATCACACATGCTTCAGTAGTTTTCTATCTACACATGCTTCAGTAGTTTTCTATCTACACATGCTTCAGTAGTTTTCTATCTACATGCTTCAGTAGTTTTCTATCTACATGCTTCAGTAGTTTTCTATCTACATGCTTCAGTAGTTTTCTATCTACACATGCTTCAGTAGTTTTCTATCTACATGCTTCAGTAGTTTTCTATCTACATGCTTCAGTAGTTTTCTATCACATGCTTAGTTTTCTATCTACACATGCTTCAGTAGTTTTCTATCTACATGCTTCAGTAGTTTTCTACCTACATGCTTCAGTAGTTTTCTATCTACACATGCTTCAGTAGTTTTCTATTTACACATGCTTCAGTAGTTTTTCTATCTACACATGCTTCAGTAGTTTTCTATCTACACATGCTTCAGTAGTTTTCTATCTACATGCTTCAGTAGTTTTCTACCTACATGCTTCAGTAGTTTTTCTATCTACACATGCTTCAGTAGTTTTCTATCTACACATGCTTTAGTAGTTTTCTATCTACACATGCTTCAGTAGTTTTCTATCTACACATGCTTTAGTAGTTTTTCTATCTACACATGCTTCAGTAGTTTTTCTATCTACACATGCTTCAGTAGTTTTTCTATCTACACATGCTTCAGTAGTTTTTCTTACTACACATGCTTCAGTAGTTTTTCTATCTACACATGCTTCAGTTCATCATCCTTTACACTGACCATTCCTTCCATCATATCTATCTTTAGAAATTTAGAAATGTTGTCCATTCTTTAGGTTGCAAACCTCTGATTCCATAGTTCTGAATTTAGACTTTCTTTTGCAGGATACACCTTCTCTGTTTGAGTGACCTTGACTATATACAGTTTTCCATACACCTCACAAACTCGCAACAATTTAGAATTCTCGGAGATCTTGTCAGTATTCACTTATTTTAAACTCAACATATGCTCCAAATTTACTCCTAGCTTGAACAGACGGCAAATTTCTCTTCAGTTCGGGAAAATAGAGCACGTTTTTCATTGCTATACGTTGATGTAACTTATTTAACCTAGTGGTCAAACGATAATTTTCTTTCCCATAAGACAATATTACACATTCATCGCCAAGATTTACTTTCGTTGGCTTTCTTAATTCTTCATAGTCCGATAAATTGTCTTGTTGACGTTTCATATACTAAATTGCACCAGAATCATTTATGCAATCAAATCTATTCTCTTTACATTTATGATAAACGCCACCTAATTAATATTTTCTTGATAATCTTTTTTAGCACAATGTGCTGACTTTTTTTCTTTGTAGTGGAAATCAAAGATTAAATTGTTCTTTCTTTGTAGATAATATCGTGAAAAATGTCCTCATGAGTGGCATATTCATTTATAAGAATGCTGGTGTTCATTTTTGTTTTTGCTGTAGTACTTTTTTTTTCTTTCACCCTAAATGATCAGTGAGCAGCGTGAGTCTTTTCATCTTTGGTATTTAGTATTAGATCTGCATCATTCAATAAAATTCCTTTAACGTTTTGATAAGATTTTTCTCCAATCTCATCTAAAGCTGTAATCAGCGGCTTGTGGTCATCCGGCAAACCGGAAAGCAAGTTCTTTGCTAATTTTTGATCATTATTTTTCTATCTACACATGCTTCAGTAGTTTTTCTATCTACACATGCTTCAGTCGTTTTTCTATCTACACATGCTTCAGTAGTTTTTCTATCTACACATGCTTCAGTACATCATCCTTTACACTGACCATTCCTTCCATCATATCTATCTTTAGAAATTTTGAAATGTTGTCCATTCTGTGTCCAATAAATAGTCATGTTCAAACGTCATATACCCTACCGCTCGCGTATTTGTTAACATAATTTTGCGTATGATACGCGTATCATACCCATATCGTTCTCGTATCATACGCGTATCATTCTCGTATCATACGCGTATCCTTCTCGTATCATACGCGTATCCTTCTCGTATCATACGCGTATCCTTCTCGTATCATACGCGTATCCTTTTCGTATCATACGCGTATCGTTTCATTTTATACGCATGTCGTTCTCGTGTCATACCAATATTACTTTCTTAATATTCTCGTATATGGTTTCAATATAGTTTGGTTTCGATTTGTGATAGTGTTGTTGCTTCCATGTCCTAAACTTAACCCTTTAGATTCTGAAGTTTTTCTTCAATATAGTTTTTCAAAAAACCATGACTTATGTTATCACAATTAGTTTCCGTTTTTATATAAGAATGGGTCACAAACTATTTAGCTATGTCATTGATGAGTCATATGTATATTAGATACGACGTGAGATAATCGCAGCTCATTGCAAAAGCAACCCAAAATTTATTAATGCATAACATATACATGTATATATAAGATCACCTATTAAAAAATTCTTTTGCTATATCGTGCCTTTAAACTATTTCGTGAATAAAATATCTTAAGAGTATACTGACACTTTTTTATGTCATCATTGTGCTACAAAGCAATTGTTAGTGTGTCGTTTCTTATGTTTATAGCACACGCAACTTTGAATGAATCTCAAAACAAACTAATCACAATGACTTTCCGTTTTCATAGGATGTGTCACAAACTACATACGTCATTGATGAGTCATATGTATACTTAGATACGACGTGAGATAAACACATTTCATTGAAACTAAAGCAACCCAAAATTTATGGATGCATAACATACATGAACTTGAATGGTATCATTTATAAAAACCCAATTGCTTTATTGTTCCTTTTAAATTCTTCATGGTGAAAATTTCTTAAGTGTATATTGATGACATCTATATGTCACCATAGTGCTGCTCATTACGATGAACAAAGTTCTATCAAGTATCACAGCGTTTCATCCTCGTATCATACGTACGCTTATCGTTCACGCATTATACGCTCATCATACGCGTATCCTTTTCGTCTCATACGCGTATCCTTTTCGTATGATACGCGTATCGTTCTCGTATGATATGCGTATCTTTCTCGTATGATACGCGTATCGTTCTCGTATGATACGCGTATGTTTTTCGTATGATACGCGTATGTTTTTCGTATGATACACGTATTTTTTTCGTATGATACGCGTATCATACGCGTAGCGTATGTTAACAAATACGCGAGCGGTACTGTACTAAGTGGCACCAGAATCATTTATGCAATCAAATCTATTCTCTTTACAATTGTCATAAACGCCACCTAATTAATATTTTCTTGATTATCTTTTTTAGCACAATGTGCTGACTTTTTTCTTTGTAATGGAAATAAAAGATTAAATTGTTCTTTCTTTGTAGACAATATCGTGTAAAATGTCTTCATGAGTGACATATTCATTTATAAGAATGCTGGTGTTCATTTTTGTTTTTGCTGTAGTCCTTTTTTTTCCTTCCGCCTTGAATGATCAGTGAGCAGCGTGAGTCTGTTCATCTTTTTTTGGTATTTAATATTAGAGCTGCATCATTCTGTAACATTCCTGTAACATTTTGATAAGATTTTTCTTCAATCGTATCTAAAGCTATAATCAGCGGCTTGTAGTCTTCCGGCAAACCGGCAAGCAAGGTCATTGCTAATTTTTGATCATTATTTTTACAATTTTTGATCTTTTTTGACTCCCAAACAAATGTACGTCTATCTATTCTTCGAAGCAATTCTAAATGCTCGCTTCACCCGATGAGACACGTCTTCTGGTAGGATTTCATCTGATCCATCGGCATGATCAAACATATGTGCGTCCATCCTTTCTTCGAAGCAATTCTAAATGCTTGTTTCACCTGATGAGACGCGTCTTCTCGTAGGATTTCATTTGATCCATCCACATGATCAAACAAATGTGCGTCCATCCTTTCTTCGAAGCAATTCTTAACGCTAGCTTTACGTGATGAGACGCGTCTTCTGGTAGGATTTTATCTGATCCATCGGCATGATCAAATGAATGTAACTCCATCCTTTCTTCGAAGCAATTCTAAACGCTCGCTCCACCTGATGAGACGCGTCTTCTGGTAG